CATTTGTGGCCTGCTGGAGGTCATTTTGCAGGGCTCTGGCAGGGCTCCTCCTGTCCCTCCTTGCACAAAGGCAGAGGTAGTGGTCCTGATGCTGGGTTGTTGCCCTCCTATGACCTCCTCCATGTCTCCTGATGTAGTGGCCTGTCTCCTGGTAGCACCTCCATGCTCTGGACACTACGCTGACAGACACAGCAAACCTTCTTGCCACAGCTCGCATTGATGTGCCATCCTGGATGAGCTGCACTACCTGAGCCACTTGTGTGGGTTGTAGACTCCGTCTCATGCTACCACTAGAGTGAAAGCACCACCAGCATTCAAAAGTGACCAAACCATCAGACAGAAAGCATAGGAACTGAGAAGTGGTCTGTGGTCACCACCTGCAGAACCACTCCTTTATTGGGGATGTCTTGCTAACTGCCTCTGCTTTCCACCTGTTGTCTATTCCATTTGCACAACAGCATGTGAAATTGATTGTCAATCAGTGTTGCTACCTAAGTGGACAGTTTGATTTCACAGAAGTGTGACTGACTTGGAGTTACATTGTGTTGTTTAAGTGTTCCCTTTATTTTTTTGAGCAGTGTATATTGCTGGAGAGACTCCAATATTCTATATACTAGGATTCTTTCAAACATTGAGCCTGTCTTCTGAAGTGCTAGCAGTCCCTGCCCTAGCTTTGTGTGTCAGCACAAATGAGGAGCCACCTTTCCATGCACTTGTCTGCATCATTGAAAAGCCCAGGACTAATCTTTGGGATGTCCCACTGAATGCCTCAGTAGACCCAGAACTTAGAACACACATTGAACACACTTGTTCCACCAGCTGTGAATCTATTCATGTTATATTGTTCTATTTTATCCAGAAGAAGGCTAGGATCAACTTAAGCTACATCCAGCTTGTTGTACAATCTTTTGAAGAATATGTAACTTCTACCTTTAATTTATATTCAGCTACGAGTCCAAGATCCAGTATTACCCTGTGTACTTGATATATTTCGCCTAAGCAGCAAATTAGATTTATCTGTCAAATTTCAAGCTCTTATTTTCAAACCCCCCCCCTTTTTTGCCTCAACCAAGGTTTTTTGAAATTTATTTCTGTCTTTTTAGGTATTCACTACCTTGTCCGTTTCTGCGTTGTCTGCAAATTTAATAAGCATTTCCTTCACCTCAGTCAATTATTTATTTTTTAAGTAGAGTCCAAGCCTGAACTTGGGGCTCCCCATTCAAGTTTGATGAGGAAGAAGAAACCCCTCAGGAGCCCACAGAGTATGATTTTTGAGGCTGGTATGTTGGCCCTTCATTTTTGTGGGGCCCCCCCCAGCCCTAAGTTGCACTTGGGAGGTGAAAGCAGCCCCACATGGGAATCGGGTCCCAACTACACTGCCAAGACAAGGATTGTGCAAGGCCTTGTTCACCGGCCTTCTGTCCTGAGGCACAGGAGCCAGGGCTCTTCCAGCCCCGTTTTCCAGAAGGTGCCGTGGATCAGGAGTGTTGCCTTGGGCCCCTTGAAAGCAACGGCTTTTTTCCAATGCATGAAACCATGGATTGGTCTGAATGCAGATGAGTAACCAACATGGGGCTCGATGCTTGGAAACACGGCCCTCCAGCCCTCTCAGGGTGGAAAGAGAAGTAGGGGCACCTTGATGCCCTAAGTGGAGGGGGGGGAGAGATGTCATTGTAGTAGGAGCAGATGCCATCCTTTCAGTGTGAAGGGCACGTCAGTCCTGAGCATCTTTTGCCAGCCCGGAGAGGTGTGCGCATGGCCACAAGCCTTGAACACACCCCCATATCATCACCTTTTGGGGTGTACCAACCAGATTGCAGGAGGAGGAAATTCTGCCAGGGCTGGCAGTGGAAGAGGAGGCTGCCAGCCAGCCGGGAGGGCTGTTGGACGGGGCCCTTGGCTTCTCCAAAGGGTACCCAAAGGGAAGGTGTGAATTTCCCCCTCCCCTTTCATGCCAGGATCCTCTGGCACAGCTGTAAACAAGGTGCTGAATGAAGCGGAACAGGCTTTTTTCCTCAGGGGATGCTGGAATCCCAGTACAGCAATATCAGGCTTCTTTTTCTGAAAACCCCTCTATTCTAATTTAATACATAATTAAACATTTGATGACTTTTTAAGTTTCTGGCGAAGGGCGGGAGAGACACGCAAGAGGGCAGGCAGTCGGTGCCCGCCTCTGAGCAGGAAGCCAGAGCTTCCACTTGCTTTGCCTGCTGCGAGTGGCGTCCAGCCTTGGCACACCCACCACTAATGGTGCTTAATGGTCCCTGTAATTGGTGTCTCAAGTTATTCAAAAGTAAATTTACTAGAAAATAATTAGCAATTTTATAGTTCACTACTTCTTCATTTTGTTGATTAAAAAAAATCCAGTTGCTTTTTTCCAGTGGCACAATTCTATGAGATGGTAAAATAATTTCCCCCAACCTGCAAGATAGGGATTAGGCACGACAGCGTGGAAACACACCAGAGACGGAGAGAATAGACGGAAGAGGTTCTGCTTGCATTATGCAGCGAAAGGAAGGCCCTTGTCGGCTTCACAGGGAGCCTTTGATCTATCCTGACTAGTTTCTGAGCACCTGGGAGTTTCTTTCTCCTGGACCAGCGAGATTCCAAGGCTGACTTCAGGCGTTACTCCAAATACGGGCAGTCAGATCCCGAAGCTGGCCCACAACTCCCCTCGAGGGGCTCAAGCACCAAGAAAGCTGCCACCGGAGGAGTTAGGAGTTAGTGAAGCTGGGCAAGGATATGGGTGCCAAAATAGAAAGAAAATAGGGAGTCCTAAGGGAGACTGAGCCCAGGCCAGGGCTGGGAAGGACTGGACCTGAAGAGTTCGGCTGCATGGCCATGGAAGCGGTGCAAGGTGAGGAGGAGACTGGAGAGTCCCCCTTGCAGGGCAGCAGGAAAACCAGAGCATGGGGACTTCTCCCATCTCCACAGTGTAGAAAGTCAGAGCCTACCCCCTTCTAGAAGAATGAAATATTTTTAGGAATATTTATATTTCCCCAAAGGGAGAAATGGAGAAACATGTTTTTAGAGGCAGGAAGCAACCCCGACTTTCCTTAATAGCCCTCAGCAGATGTCAGCACTTAAGAGCCTCCCTTCTGCCCCAGGGACTCTGCCACCAAGCAGTGACAGCTGGTTGTTGAGGTTGGCCTTCAAACTTTGTATCTCGGTTCGAATGGTCGTCTCTTGACTGGGCTCCCAGGACTGCTCTGAAGGTAGCCCAGGAATCTAAAATAATGACTCGGTCCCTAACGCGTCAAAAGAAAGATGAAGTAGAATGGTGACAGAGGGATTATTCATGTATAAAGGACAGGAAATTGGGTTTGACAAGGAAAATGGAATTGATGATTGTAAGTTATATATAGAGGGGAAAAACAGAGCAATTAGATGAACATGAGATCTAACGATGGAAGAATGGAGGGAGACGTTTTAAGGCATACAAGCTTTGATACCAGTATTATGGCTGGTCGATGGTCTCTTATGAGAATAGGAATTTGCCCACTGTGTTATACGGAACAAAGAGTTGGACGTGTCAGGAGAAACATAAATAGTTGAGTTGGTTTGGTGAGGTAAAGAGGGCTGGATGAGGAGGAAATCCCAGACCAAATCTAGGATGAACGAGTGAAGAGACGACCATTTGAACCGAGGCATCAAAGTTTGAATGCCCAGCCTCAACAACCGCCTAACGCTGTTTGGTGGCAGAGCCCGTGGGGCAGAAGGGAGGCTGCATTCAGACACTAGGGCACACCATGGTTAGCAGCAGTCCTAGTTAGGCTCCCGTATCCAAGAAAGTGGTCAAGGGAGAATAGCCAGCCAAGGGCAGGAGAGAAGGGAGAGGCACGGCAGGGGTGCCAAGGAGCTCTAGCTGTGGTTTCTTCTCCCACCATAGCTTGGCTTTCCCTCTCTCTGCATGTTGCACAGTGCTGCTTATTTCCAAAGAGGGTGATGGGGGTGTAATAAAAGGAGGCGTGCCAGGATTAAGGATGTTGCTAAACTACAACTCCCAGCATCCTCCTCTGTGGCCTATGCTGACTGTCATTGTGGTTTGGCAGCAGCGGGAGGCCACACTGCGCCCCCCCAACCCCCCACAGTTGGGTCAGTGAGAATCAGCGAGGTCTGTTCGGTGTGAAGACCTCTCGTTGTCCAGACAGAAGCGGCTCTGATGAAAATGAAACGAGCATTAAGAGGTTTTTGTGCTTTTTCCCTGCATTTAATTTACTCTTCTAGAGCCAAGAGGGAGTAATATATTCTCAGCGTTGGCACCCCACCTCCCCCCCATATGACCCACCCCTTTGCCAAAGGCAGCTGTCCCCCCACCCCCGAGAGCTGATAAATGCAGCAGAGAGAAGAAGCTGCTGTTGCAAGATTTTATTGTGGGGTGAGATTAGCTCCAGGTGGAGACTTTGCATGTCTGCCTTGTTCAGGTAGATGGTGGAGACTCGGAGGATGGGGGCAAGGAGGCGGCGGCAGGGGGGCAATTTCCCTTCCAGGCAATGAATCCTTCCATTGTCAATGGCTGAACTATAACATTGCCAGCTTTCTGGGACAATGACTCATCCTGTCCCTGGGAGCAGAAAATTAAGGATAATTTATGCCTTGCTAATTGAAATCAAATACAAAATTCAATCTCTCTGTGCCAGGGAGGCTGACATTTAAACAGGGAAGACAAAACAGAAAAAAAAAGAAAGAACGAACGAAAGAAAGGAAAAAAGGGAACGTTTCCTGAGCTGGTGGCTTCCTCAGAAGACAGACGGTCTCCTCCTCGCACAGCAAAAGGCAAGGCTGGCAGAGGAAACGCACCAGCCGTCCAGAAAACAGGAAACCAACCGGCAGCCCTCCGTACAGCGGAATTGGCCCCCTCCTCCCTTGGAAAGGGCCACACCAAGCATTCCACACCCGGGCAGCCTCCCCACCGGGATGCCGCTTTCCAGAACGGGCTCCCTGAGAACAGGGTGGTCTCCTCCGCCTGCCGTAGCAAAACTAAACATCTGAAGAAGACGCAGCACAGGATGCAGGACGTGTGAAATGGCTCTTCTTCCCCAGCTGGGGAGCAAGGACGCCCAGCTGCCCCCTCTTCTCTCGGGACAGCAGAGGGGTCTCCAGGGCAGGGCTGGGGGCTCTCGGGGCGCCTTCCTGGTCTCAGAAAGTGGGAGGAATCAGGGGCCAAAGGGACCCCCCAAAGCTTTGGCTGCCTCTTCAGTCCGCTGAGCCCTCATCCCCAATGCTGGGGTCAGGGGGCAGTTGGCCCTCGGAAGTCAAGTCAGGCTTTTGTCACTGCAGGAGGATCTGTAGGGAGGAGAAGAAGAAGCACCACCTTGTTACTTGAGCAGCAGCACCCCATTGAGAGAATGACCCCCCCCAAGGAGTTGGAGCCCCCGCTTGGGACAACCCACTGCCCATCTGGCAGAAGACAAAATCTCTTGGGGCTCCTTGTGAGTGTCATGCGGTTTGGTCAAAGGCCCCATCGGCTGTTTCTCACGAGGGACGGTGCCTGTTTGCGCCATTTTGTCGGGGGCAAGAAAGAAGGGGGGGGGGGGGGGGGTGCCTCCCGGGGGGGGGGGGGGAGATGAGAGGGGCCCATGTGCCCCAGGCTGCGAGCTGGAACCTCACTCATCAACCACACCAGCTGATATTGAATCAACCAGGTGGCCTTGATCACCTTGTTCTTAGGCCAGGCTGAGGTTCCTGGCAGAGCACACAGGCCAGGCCAGCAAGCAAGGAGGGGGGTCAATCTGTCCTGAGCACGAGGGAGGAATCTGGAGCCCCAGTCTGACGGGATGCAGGGGCCTTCTCCAAATCCTCCAAGGTGTGAAGCTGCCCCAGTGGGAGCCTGGGGATGGGGAGGAGGACGCAAGGGGCATAGCCCACTCAGACCGTAAACAATGGTTTATTTTCTCTCTTTTTTTTATGAAGCCATCTACCTGAACACTTTAAATCCTTGCAAAATGGATTGCATGACAACATCGTTCTCTTTTAATAGATGAAGTCAGAACTTAATCATAGGTGAAAGTCAGCTCTAGCACACACTTCACTTTTTGTTTGTTAAAATTTATAGTTGCTTTTCCTCTACAAAAGAAAAGAGAACTACACTATGTTAGAATTTTAAGAATTTTTATAAAATGATTGGTATTGTCCTCAGAAAAATTGTTTAGAATACACAGAGGCACTTCAAATGTATTCATTGGAAATGTGAACAAAGGGGGACATTTTACCATGTTTGGTGGAAGTATAAAAAGCTAGAAAATTCTGGATTCAAATACTTGTATCCAGGATCTTAAAGATTACAAACAATTGAGACAAGAGGTTTTTCTTGTGGGATTGTAGACAAACAGTTTGGGGTGGGGGGAAGTCATGGAATGTTGTTTTGTGCATGGTAGTTGCAGTGAGATTATCGTATGCACAAAGATGGAAAGATTCGGCCTTATCCTCACTGGAGGAATAGTTGGTGAAGATGATGGAACTCAGTGAGTGAGGTGGCTAAATTGACTTCTTTGATCAAAGAAAAGACTATGTTTACTGCTGGATGGGCAGCCCCTTATGGACTTTTTGCACAAAACAGAACAAATTTACAATTTATGGATTTGGTGATTCGACATAGAAAGAAGAGAGTTATGTTGTAACCTTATAGTAAGGGATAAATTTATAATTGTGCTTATATGCTGTAAAGAAGATTGGAAGCCATGAGATGCTAGAGTCTTTTTTCTTTCTTTTCTACGTTTTAATCCCCGCTTTTCTTGCACTTTTAGTTTTCTCTTTGATTTCTTTTCCTTTTCCTTTTCTTACTTTATATCTTACTTTTTTATATCTTACTTTACTGCATTAGTTTTATCTTTAATCTACCTCATATTAACTGGACCCTAAACAAATGTACAACTGAACCCATACATGCAACCTCCTACAATGCTGTAACAAATCTGGGACTGGAACAACTAGTAACCAACAATACTAGACTTAACAACTGCCTCGATCTCATCTTCTGCAATAGTTTGAATTCAATTTACGGAATACAAATTAAAGAACCCTTTTCCAACAGTGACCACAACATGATTGACTTTTGTCTCAACATACATCCACACAAAAATCATCACAATGACAAAATCCCCAATTATAACTTCAAAAAAGGCAGCTATGATCTTATAATCAACGATCTCTCTTCCCTTGATTGGCAATTTCTATTCACTGGATGCAATACTGTTGAAGACCATTACAACATATTCTTACTAGAATTCAAAAGAGCCATCAAACTATATGTACCAATAACAACTACCAAAACCAGGAAAAACAGATTAACCATAACAATAAGGAAGCTTCAGTCCAAAAAGAGATCACTTTGGCGAAAAAACAAAACTGGTAACGTTGCCAACTTCAAAAGCCGATACAAAAATCTATGCCACCAGATAAGAACTGAATGCGCTAATTATCACATTAAACAAGAGGAAAACCTTCCACGCACAAATTCCAACCGTGCTTTCTACAATTTTGTAAACAACAAACTAAAAGACTCAAGGTCCATCCCACCCCTGAAAGGACCTAATGGCAAAGACTGCAAGGACACCATCAAAGCAAACCTCTTTAACACATTCTTTGGCTCAGTATTTGTAAACAGCAATGGATCAAGCCCAGTACTTCCTAGTCGAACCACAGACAACTACAATGATCTAATACATATCAATTTTACAGAAAACATTGTTGAAAAAGCACTGCGCAATCTAAAACCATCCCTATCTATTGGACCGGATGGAATATGTGCCTACTTCTTAAAAAAGCTACCCACTGCCATAGCCGAACCTCTAAGCTTAATCTTTGAAAAATCTTTCAGGACCAGCTCCTTGCCAAAACTATGGTCACAAGCCATGGTCATCCCCATCTTCAAAAAGGGAGACCCCAGCCTAGTTGAAAATTACAGATCAATCTCCTTATGCTGCGTCACCTGTAAAGTCATGGAATCAATTATTAATCAATCCATTATCCTCCACTTAGAGACAAACAACCTACTCTCTAATAAACAATTTGATTTCGGAAAAAAACTATCCTGTAATCTGCAACTCTTAACACTGCAAAAACATATGGACTACACAACTCGATCAGGGCAAAGCAATAGACGCAATCTACATAGACTTCTGTAAAGCCTTTGATTCAGTGGTACACGATAAACTACTACTAAAACTAAAATCTTATGGTTTCTCTGGACACCTACATAACTGGGTAGAAGCATTCCTGTCAAACAGACAACAAATGGTCAAAATTGGGAGCGTCCTATCAAATTCTGTACCTGTCAACAGTGGTGTCCCCCAAGGCAGTGTTCTAGGACCAACTCTCTTCATACTCTACATAAATGACCTCTGTGATCATATTAAGAGCAACTGCATTCTCTTCGCTGATGATGTAAAGCTAATCAACACCACAGACAATACTACTACCCTGCAAAAATGTATCAGAATGGTCAATCAAATGGCAACTTCAAATCTCAACAAATAAATGCTCTGTCTTACATATTGGCAGAAAAAAATCAGAAAATAAAATACAAGCTAAGTAGTCAAGACCTTGTTGAAGATCCAAACTTTGTCAAGGACCTTGGAGTACTCATCTCAAATGATCTAAGTGCTAGAGCCCACTGTAACTACATAGCCAAAAAGGCATTAAGAGTTGTTAATCTAATCCTGCGTAGCTTCTTCTCTGGTAATATCACACTACTAACTAGAGCATACAAAACATTTGCTAGACCTATACTTGAATACAGCTCATCGGTCTGGAACCCATATCATGTATCTGATATTAACACAATTGAAAAAGTCCAGAAATATTTCACAAGGAGAGTTCTCTGCTCCTCTACTCATTGCAGAATACCTTATGCCACCAGACTCGAAACTCTAGACCTAGAAAACCTAGAGCTACACCACCTCCGGTCCGATCTAAATATAGCATATAAAATCATACATTGCAATGTCCTACCTGCAAATGAATACTTCAGCTTCAATCATAACAATACAAGAGCACACAATAGATACAAACTCAAGGTTAACCACACCAAACTTGACTGCAGAAAATACAACTTCAGCAACAGAGTGGTCAATGTTTGGAATACTCTACCTGACTCTGTGGTTTCTTCCCCAAACCCCAAAAACTTTAACCTTAGACTGTCTACTGTTGACCTCAACCCCTTCCTAAGAGGTTCGTAGGGCCTCTCCATCTGAGAGCAGCATCACCCACATTTCTGCTTGGAGACCCCCTGATTGTCAAAGCACCAATCGTGCCTACCGTGCCTGTCCTATTGTTTTTTTGTCTTATAAGCATCTATCTCATGTATTCAAAACTATATTTATTCTTATACCTGTATCTTGTAAGCGATTGAGAAATCAAATAAATGAATAAATAAATAAATCTGCAATAACCCCTCCCCCCTTCTGTTAAATCATGCCCAATTCTCAAAGGCTACTTGGACAAGTCCCTGGCAAGGCTTTTCAGAAGCGGTTTGCCACTGCCTGGTAGGGTGAGAGGGTGAGATTTCCTCCCTGCAGGAAAGCCATTTACCTCTGGAGAAAAACCCGCTTCGTTTGCCACGGCTGCATCACATCCCAGCCTGCTGCTCCTCCCACTGGAAATCCTGGCCTGTCATTTGGTAAAACATGACATTAAAGGGCTTATAAAACTTGTGCAGCCTCTGAATGACGTCTTGGTCGATGACCGGGTGAGTCCGGCCCTTGGACTTGCCAAGGCACCGGGGCGCGCCACTCTCCTCCGGCTTCTTGAGGCAAGGAAAGCCCTTGGTCTGGTTGAAATGGAAGTACTTCTCGGTCACCACCCTCCGCAGGCCCAGGAAGGCCTGCACCTTGGCCAGCTCCCCCGCGGGGTCCGAGATGAGCCGCTCGCCGCTGACAAAGTGCATCTGGGCCAGCGGGAAGTACTGGAGCCAGCTCTCCAGGTGCAGCGCATAGAGGCCGATGCGGAGGGCGCTCCAGGAGGCGTCGATCAGCCCTAGAGTCCGGTTCTTGAAGGCCAGCACCTCGAAGGTGGGGATCTCGGGCTTCTTGGAGAGGGTCTGCGTGTAGTCGGAGATCGCCCGTGTCACTGGGTCCCGAACCACCACGATCAGCTTGGTGTCCTTGGCCATGGCGTGGATGCGCCCGGCCGCCTCGCCGGTCACGAAGTAGCTGGGTGTTTTCTCCATGGTGAGCTGGCCTTCCAGAGTTCGTGGCATCAGCTCCCTGTAGCGCAAGAGAGTGGGAGAGACATCAGGTCCATGTCCACCTGCTTGACTCCAGGCTGGGCGGGTGCGGAACTGGGGTGCCGGGAGCCATTAGCCCAGAGGTCTCCAACCTTGGCCACTTTAAGACTTGTGGACTTCAACTCCCAGAATTCCTCAGCCAGCTTTGCTGTTTGAAGTCCACAAGTCTTAAAGTGGCCAAGGTTGGAGACCCTGGCAGTAGGCTGCCCTTTGCTGAGATCAACAGGCAGAAGTTAATTGGCCATAAAAGCCGCCCATCCCAGCCTGAGCAGCAGCCATCTGCTCAATTAAAGTCTATTCACTTCGGAGTCTTGTATCAAAGTGGAACATTTAGGATTACACGAGACCTTTTTGTTATGATGACACGCTTTTAAATGTCTCTGCTAATAAACTTAATACAGGCAGGGATCCCTCAGCGCTTGTCCCGTAATTAAGTGTATTTACTATCTCGCAGGCGAGGAGCAATGCCTGGCTTTTATCTCACCTTCCCACGCCTTGTCAATAATTAATGGTTGTGGGGTTTGAAGGGGAACTTCCCAGGCACTTCAGGGAACCTGGGGGGAGATGGGGGGTGCGGACTGGCTCTGAGCCTGAAGCCCAGGCCAGGGGAGCGGGGGGGGGGGCTCCTGCCAGACAATATCCTCAATCTGGGGAGACAGCCATTCAGTTTGGACATGCTCAGAGGTGGAACACGACGTCCCAAAGAGGCACACCTGCTCGGGGCCAAAGGAAGGGCTCCTGTGTGGAGCCCCCACCCCCCAGCAGAGCCTTGCCAGAGGCTGTCTGGCCTTGCTGGGCTCCCTCCCTGGCAGCCCCTGGCCGGAAGGCAGCTCCTCAACTGCTTGAGTGGCTGGCTCTGAAATGGACCTCGGCATGGGGGGGGGGGGGGGGGGAAGGAGGGTGGGGGTCCTTAAAGGGGGGCCCCCCCCCCCCCCCCCAAGCTGGGCTCCGTTCTTCCAAGGGGGGGGGGGGCAGAGGATGGGGGGGCCAAGGAGTGTCTCCTCCGCTGCCCATTGTGGTAAAGAAAGGCTCTCCTTTACGGCATTGTGGAGAGGGATTTGGTCTCGTGGCCCCCGGCCCAAAGTAAAAGATGCTTGGGAATTCAGAGAGTTGGCAGAAAACTGGGCACCCGGCCCGAATGCCTCCCTCTGCTGCAACTGGCTTTGGGGGGCAGGGGGAGATATGGGGGTCCCAACAGGGGATCCTGCCCTGATACCCATCCCCCATCAAGGTTCAGCCCCCTTGGAGGCCCCGTCTCACTGGGAGAGCAGGGCTGGGGCAGGGAGGGGCTTGGCCCCCTCACCCAACCCTCCGTGGGGGCTGTCTGGGTGGAGATTAGGAATGCCCCCCCCCCCAAATGAGGGAGCTCTGGGCTTCCAATTGCTATGATGGGAAATAACCAACATTTCCAGTTTGGATTTTTGCTTCGTGCCAGCAGAGGCTGCAACTTGCCAGCAGCAGGAAATGCCTCTTCTCCCTTCCTGGGTTCAGCAAATGCTGCTTTTACAAGTGAAATCCCTGGAGAGGAAGCGATGTTTTTGTCAGGGCTGTTCCAATTTTGGAGCCTGCCAGAATTTGTACGTCTCCAGCCTCCCTCCACGTCTCCTGCCCGTCCAGTGGGTTCTCCTGTCCAGTGCCTGCATCACCATCTCTGCTTGGGCAGCCCAGTCATTATTTGGGGGGGGGGGTGGGGAGGAGGGGGCCCCAAGGGGGGGGGGGGGCGGCCAAAAGGGGGGGGGGGGTTTGGAGTGGTGCAAATCTCCTTCCAGCCTCCTGGCGAGGATATTTTCAAGGGGATGAACCCATTTGAGGTAGCAGGAAAGCCGAACCCCTTGGGCTGAATTGGTCCCCCTGAATGGGAAGGAAAGGACCCCCCCCCGTTCCACTTTGCACAGATGAAGCATCTGGTAAGCCTCTTTCTGAGCTCCCAACCCATATTCAAGACTAAAAGCATTAATGCTGAGAACGGTGTCAATCCCTCCCAAGCACACTCTCCAGTCTCTGCCAACTCTTCAGCTGCCATTCTGGGGGGGGGGGGGCAGAATGCAAGCTGCCCACTGGCCTGGCTCAGGACGCTGGATGCATCAAAGACTGATGACAGCCAACATCACCTCAGGGACAGGTATCTCAAAGGGGGAGGTGTTGTGCTTGGATGAAAGCAGCAGATCCGTTGGATGCCACTGGTGGGCACCTGCCTGGGCCACTTTGCAGGAAGGCTGCATGCCATGGCAGGGAGGCCCTTCCTGCCCCACATGGAGGCCTGGCACGCGAGAAGCTGCTCGCTCTTTCCTTGGCCTGCCTGGCACTTCTGCTCCCCCTCTGCCCCAGATGTGCCTGTGGAAAATAATTGTTTACCAGCCACACAATCGGCATTGAGAACAGGCATAACACAGGCGAGGGGAACCAGAAACAGCTGCAGAGGCTGAATGGTAGCCAGAGGTTGAAGGTACCCAGAATCAGAACATCTGGGAACTCCTGAGCCTGCTATAAGTCTGCATGAAGGGACCAACGAAGGAGCAGAGAAAGTAGGCAATCCCTCAGCCCACTTCCCTCTAGTAAGCCTGGGACCAATTGTCTGTCTCTTGCAAGCCCCCCCCTCCCCCCCCCAATTTACTGGAAAGGGAGAGAATGAAGAGAGGCCTGTGGGGGAGCTGCCATTGCCACCTGAACGAGGAGAAGGAAACAGGTGTGTGTGTGTGTGTGTGTGTGTGTGTGTGTGTGTGTGTGTGTGTGTGTAGGGGTTTATGTGCTCTCTTAGAGCAGAGGCCTCCAAACTTGGCAAATATCAGATTGCCAAGACCGATCCCTGCCTTAATGCTAAGCCTAATGGAACACCACCACCACCACCCCCGAGTGCAGCCAGTCCACATGCAGTTGTGGACCTACCTTATTCTAGGGCCGCCCAAACCAAACTTCAAGATCCCCTCAACAAGGACGTCCGAGAGAGCCTTGCCAAACCTTTGGCTGAAATCCAGGCAGGTTCTGTCCACCGCTTTCCCTTGGCCCATTAGAAGAGTTACCTTGTCGGAGGAGGGTTCTGCACAACCTGCAGGCATTGGGCAGGTCATTGGGCGGCATCCTCAGGAGATTCAGAAAGATGACCCCACCCCATAACATACCATCCCTCCGTGGGCTTGAACAGCCATTGGTCCTCCATGCTGCAGCCACTCAACAGGAGTCAAGAGGAGCCGGGACCGGCCAGAGGCATTCTTTTGGGGGGAACTAAGAGAAGGGGAGACACCGCAGCCCACCTGGAGTAACCTGAATGTAGACCTCGTCTGCAAGAGCCCTCCCACCCCGTACCCCGTTTTCCCCAAGCCTGGCATCTCTACAGGAATTGCACCCTGGCAGATTTCTGCCCCCAACATCCCTGTCCTCACCAAATCAACCATAAAAACAAGGCCAGGTCGCTGATGCTTTTGCAAAACCCAACTGCTCTTTCTAAGGACAACGAGGCTTTTGCCTGGGTGGCTTCCACCCGGCACAAACGAAGAGCTCCTGGCCATTCTGGAGCATCAAAAAGGCTGTGCATGTGGAAAGGACAGGCATTCGGTGCCTCTCTCTCCCGCAGACTGGCTGGCTTCCGACACAGCTCCAAACCACAAGGGCTGGCTTCCCCCAACATGCTGAGCCAAAGCCCAGCAACCAGCATGAGGTGAAAATCAAGTTCCTGCTACAGTCTGTAGCTGTTGCAAGCATATCTGGGTGCCTGTTTTTGTTGCAATCTTTCTGCAGAACTTCAAGGGGAAGAGGAGATCAGGTGGCCCCCCACTGTCCCCCCATTCATTGACTCTCAGGGCACTTCTTCTGATGCTGGGGGAGGAGACCACTGGCAAACTTAGTCATCCCATAGCGTGTTATTTTACACTCTGGTTTCTGGTTTAGACCCTGGATTTAGCAGAAGTTGCCACCCTGACTCAACAGCTCTACCTTCCAGCTCAGCTCTGCTTCCCTAGCTGCACAAGATGAGCCCCGATTCTATCTGCATGATCAGCAGTTCCCAAGTGTGGTAAGTTGTAACCTGATTTTATCTATCCTAACTGGTCATATAATTAATTATATAATTTGTTAAATTTATATGCCACCCAATTTCCAGCTACTCAGTTTATTAATTTTCCAGGATTCTGGGAGTAAAAAGGAAGAAAGGACTCTTCCAACAGCTATGCGAAAGTGTATTTGTAAATAGACAAACACTAACATTTTCGTTTAATTTCTTAAGTCTTCCCCACCTCTTATTTTTGCATCACAGTGTAGCTACACCGAAGGGGAAAAGAAGGCAGGCCCACTCCTCCAGGCCAGGCCATTAAAGAACTAGAAGCCTTGTGTCATCAAACAGCTGCAGCTTTTGAGAAGAAGCACAATATGAATTGATCTCATCATATGGGTGGCTGATCTCTTTTCACAACACAGCTGCCTCCTGTGCCAACCTGGACTTATCCCTCAAGATACGAAGGTGTGTGCAAAACACACTAAGGCTGCTTCCCTCCCCACATTCAACACATATGTTTCAAGGTTTTCTGATACTAACACCAGCAGCAAATTGGTAGAAGAGGGAGAGAAGGCCCAAGTTGCTACAGCAACTGGCAGGTGGTTCTGGAAAATATGCTGAGAAGAAAATCTATGGGAACTAGAGGGCCTCTTTCAGTTCCGGTCACCGCATATCCCCTCTACACACAATCATGAACCAGGTCTTTAGCTTCAACACAACCTGTGACCATAGTGAGCCCATCAAAGGCAACTGGCAGCTTCTAACACCTCCATAGCAGGTGGGAAGTTCCCACACCCCATTCCTTTATTTAAAATCCAGAGGGGAGAAAACAGGAAAGTCTGGGCACTGAATGTGGGAGGTGTTCCCAAGATAAAAGGAACCTGGCCTTTGGAAGGGGATCCTGTGTTAAGAACCTGGTCTCCTGAACTATTAACTTCTCACACAAGGTGAGGTGTGGTTGGATGCCATGACAACGCCCACAAGGGTCCCTTCTAGGCTTTCATTAAG